CGCGTAACTTAAGCGCTCATGCTGCTCTACATCGTTATACACTCTTTCGGACCGTCTCCATTCTCTCAAAGCTCCCGCAATCATTCAACTTTCTATCTGGTCGTCAGAGCCCTATCATCACACTATTAGCCGCTAGATTTAAGTCTTTTGAGGCTAATCATCATTTGTTGCCTCCATTCTCCATGCTTTGAAGCAGCTAGGGTGCTAGAGTTGGGCGAATTATGTGTCCGGTCACATGTACGTCCGGACAACCGATCCAGATGCGCCACGTCACCAAATACATCGGGGTCGAGTTTATTTTGCTGACGTAGGCGCATCTGGATTAGTCCCGGACGAATCCTGACACCGGACGTAATATAATTTTGCCCTAGAGAGTTGAGAGTATATTTTGGCGAAAGAGGAAAGAACCTGCTCACTCATCATTCTCATCCAAAAGAAAAAAAGGACACGAGGCTATATTTTATTATTTTTAGCTCTAGCATGCGTGTGGTTGAACGAGAGAACTAGAAGTGGAGCTCTCCTGGGCTTTGAAGATCGATCAAATTCCTCTTACAATGTGAAACTCGGTCTGAACTCATTCATAATAATTCGTCAATTAGTCAACACTTTCAACAATTTGCTATACTATTAATAAATTTAAGAACACGTTAAGCATTTTCCAATGTATTCGATAATTCATTCATTTTTGTGCACTGGAAATTTTGCAGCGGTGGACAGATATGGAGGCTTAGCATCATAACTTCGTACGAAAAATCCAGCACACAAATAGAAAAAGATAGAGGGGTGTGATAGTCATAAGATACATCTAGAATTTTTACGTGAAAAACCCCTGAAATGTGGAGAAAACACGAACTTTTTATTTTGTCCAGTGAACGTACCAGAGGAAGGTTCAGTTTTAGGCAAAAAAAGCGCCTGTACTGAGGTGTACGAGGTTTTTTCTAGAAAAAACTCGGTACACCTCGGTACAGGCGCTTTTTTGCCTAAAACCGAACCTTCCTCTACATCCTTGCACCGGACCAAATAAAAGTTCAGAAACCACGGGGCCTAACACAGTTAAGATGGTTTCACTACTGTTTGTACTCGATTACAAAAGGCGCCCTTCAGGGGGGAGGCATTGAGACCGAAGGGATCATAGTCGACGGGCGATCACTAGAGGAAAATCATTAATTTTAGGCAGCATTTTCCGGCGGCTTACCGGCAATCACTTTTCCTGCGGCTTTCCGGCGGTTTTTTCCAACGAAATTTTCCGACGGCTTTTTCAATTTTCCGGTGGCTTTTAAAAATTTAATGAACATTTTTAAAAATTTTAACTATTTAAATGAATTTAACAAAAAAATTATTATTAAAATTCTAAAACTTATATTAACTATTTAATTAATTTTCATTTTAAAATTATTTAGTTAGTTAATTATTATTTTATTTTTATTGTATATTAAATATTTTTTATATTTTAAATTAATTTGTTTCATTTTTTTACAATTAAAAACTAATTGATTTTCGGTATGAATATAGTTTAAATAAAAAATATTGACAAATGAAACGTATTTACATATTCAGCAATTCGGTCGATTGCTTGAAATTCTTCCCGACCGACCGCT